CTCCTATCGATTTGCAGGGACATCGAAGTTATCGTTCTTGTTTAGTCTTATACCGTGCTTCGAAACAAACCACCTTGTCCAGTTAAGGACGGGCTTGGCTTTTAAACCCGACAACAAAAAGTGCGACTCTTATCCTCCCTCACACCTCGAACCCGAAGTTCAAGAGGAACTCCACCATGGCTAAATTCCCGTAGGCTGCAGCCCAAAATAAGGGCGTTTGTTTGTTGTCATCCACTTGCTCCAGGTCAACGCCCTGTCTGATGCAGAGTTTCGCCAGCAGAACACAGCCGCGGCGGCGTCGAGCTGCTGCAAAGAACAGCATGTTCTGCTTGAGGCTGCTGTGCAGCCACGACATGTTGACTTTCGCCAATGCTTCTTTGGCCTCAGCTAGGTCTGCATCTCTCACCTTTTCGAAAAGCCCGTCTCGCTCCTCGCCAGCCGCCACGGTGGCGTTTTGTTGGCTCATGTCTGTGCCGGTGACATGTCTTCAGCCAAAACATCTTGCGTGGGAGGATAGGCGATCAGAAGCGTGTCAACTCTGACTATGATGCACAATGCCAGATCGCAAATGTGACCATCATCCTTAACATCGACAGCATCACGACCAGCGCCATGGCAAGCAAGACAATCGTCACCATAGTCATAACAATCACCTGCATCACGATCGTCCCCATCATACTTGTCGTCATCGTCATGTCTGTCACATATTCACGATCAACAACATCAACATCGCCATCGCCACCATCCGTCAAACAGTGGTAGTTTTCCGCGTTCCTTCAGAAAGGGTCCTCCATGATCTTACTATTTATGGCTTACTGTACGCTCGGAACGCCATGTCCAGAAGAGCCTACAGCAGAAGAAACAACAACAGTCTTCCTCTGACCCTCAGCTGTTTCTGGGATCCCGGACCATAATCCTCGCCGTACACGAAACTGGCTTTATAGCCTGATTGAATGATTGAGGGAGAGATAAAGAACTTGTACACAGAAGACCAGACCGACTAAGCTCATGTGGCCTGGAAATATTGTACATGATTTTGGTCGCTAAGGCTATGACAACATGAGCAACCTCGCAGTAGTCAGGATACTCAGGCAACGGTGTTGGGCCTTCTGGGCACTGCGTCAGTCCCAACAAATGTCTATGATTCCGAGGAATACGCAAATATGATGGGAAATATGCAAATAGGCCTTCGAAGCCCTAAACCATGTAAAATGCCCATATATGTATAAATATATATATATATATATATAATGTGTATAATATATATATATATATATACATATATATGTGTGTAGAGAGAGAGATATATATATATATATTTATATATATACATACATACACCACAAAGTATAAGAGCAAACTACAACCGGTCGGGATCGTCGATCCGTCTGCGTTAGCTGGCTCGGTCTCGTTTCAAGACCACCGCATGGGAGTTGCAAAGATGAGAAGTGCCCGTCTTGGGTTTTTCGGGTTTTGGGTTTAAGGACTTAAGGTTCTGGATTCTTGCATCCGAGCCACACCACAGGCGGAGGCAAAGCTCAATAAAGAAGAAACCGTTACAGACCTCGCCCAGGACGCGCAGGATCTGCAGGGCAGACAAGGGACACAGCCAGGCAGCCGAGAAGCTGTGCTCGCGTGTGAGGGGCTGGGGTTCAGGGGTTGCAGTAAGGGGCTTGAGGTTCGGGCCAGGGTGTATGTTATACCTGACGGGTGCAAACCAGACAGACGAAACGAGCTGATCAGATATGATGATTCCAAGACTGAGTAACCAGTATAGTTTTAGCCATGACGCCAACAATTAACAACGGCACAGAGAACTCCATCACTCGGCAAACCACAGTCGCTCCAGCCCGTCGCCTGTGTTTCCAGCTCTGACTTGTTGCGCTTGACATCGAGGCCAAGAAGGATCGAGTTGAAAACGATCATGGAGGCCACAAAGAGGCCGAAAGACCGGCTGCTCAACTGAGTCGCTTGGGCTTGGGATGTAGCGCTTCGGGTTGTAGGGCTTAGAATTCGGACTGATCCTGGTTTCTTTGTACCCATGAACTCTCGAATGAGGTTCGCGGCCATGATTGTTTGCCACGAGACCCGATTCGATTGTGTTGTCTTCTTCCGTAATCCCGGCAGGATTGGAACCCCACCTTTCGTCCAACGGAAGGCATCATGAGATCAACTCGAAGCTTGCTGCTGAAGGGAAAGATACTGGTAGTACCTTCGAGATGCATGGTGATGATTCTTAGTCTCCTCTGTACGTTCGATGTGATGACAGCTACAGTAGCTACTGTTGCTCTCTATTTCTTTAGTTGCTCTGGCCAGGACTTCTTTTTGACATAGTATGGTCCATACTGTTGGATTGTGATACGGCCCGAGCTTCGTCCAGCTGCCTAATGCCCTCTGCCTTATAAAGCCTCCGACGGATTAAACCCCAAACCAAAAAACTACAGACTCTACACTACCAAGCCCCGAACCTTGAACCCTCAACCCCCAACCCAGACCCGGACCCTGTGCACCCTCCCCAGCTCTGCAAGCAGGCGGCGATACAATTGAGGCTCACCTGCAGATTCAGAAAGTGCTGAAACAAATTCCCGTGGTGCTGGCAGATTCTACCGTACAGTGGGCTCTACCATAAACTTATCCCACAGCAGCCTTGTGATTACAGGGTCTTGAATAGCAGCGATATGCATTCCATGGACGATACAGTGCCTTTAGTGTAGCTTCTGGATTCCAGCGTCGAGCGGAACACGTGTTGTGGCACCCGATGCAGAACCGCTTTAAGGCGGGTTTCCGGCATCAGCTCCCTCACCACCCCGGAAAAGGCTTTTGGCATTGATCCCAAAGTTCCCGAAACCCCAGCCCTTTCAAACCTGGCGCCCTTACCTTGCAATTTTGTCGCGTGACATCTTTACGACCCAAAGCCGTACCTTTGGGAACTCCAAAGACGCTGAGCCTTCACAACGAGCCCCTGCATCCTAAGAAGTGGCGCCTCTTGGATCACACTGGGCACGGACTTACCACCAGTTTCCTCGCGGGCATCGCGGGCAGTAGGTTCAAAAAGGACAAGGGCTTCAGAGCAGGGAGTGCTGAACAAGTTGAGCTGGCACGGCGCTAACATTTGAATACATTTGCCAGGAAATGACAAAAAAATCGTTGTGGCAGTACAAGTAACTATAGTAGCAGTAGTTGCGGTAGTAGCAGGTAGTGGGTTTTAGTAGTAGTAGTAGTAGTAGTAGTAGTAGTAGTAGTAGTCGTAGTAGTCGTCGTAGTAGTAGTAGTAGGAGTAGTAGGAGTAGTAGGAGTAGTAGTAGTTTTAGTAGTAGCAGTAGTAGTAGTAGTAGTAGTAGTAGTAGTAGGAGTAGTAGTAGTAGTAGTAGTAGTAGTAGTAGTTGTAGTAGTAGTAGGAGTAGTAGTAGTAGTAGTAGCAGCAGTAGTAGTAGTAGTAGTAGTAGTAGCAGCAGTAGTGGTGGTGGCAGTAGTAGTAGTAGTAGTAGTAGTAGTAGTAGTAGTGGTAGTAGTAGTAGTAGTAGTAGTAGTAGCAGTGGCAGCAGTAGCAG